ATATATATATATATATATATGTTTTTGAAACTGCTAACGTTGAACTCAATCTAGGCCAGAGGCACAGTCTGACTGATGTTACATGGGAGTTCACGGACAATCCATCATTGACTACTAAGGCTGTCTCCAGCATTGCCCTGGCCTATGGCCCAGTATGGGCCAGGATCACAGAGAAGAAAAGGCAATTTTAGCAGGAGATAAATGGGAGTATAAAATATTTTCCCTGAGGGTCATTCATATGAAAAATGAGGTCACTGTGAATATAGTCCTAAGGACATTTTCAACCTATGATTCTCTCTTACCAGCTCTCAGGGAAATCCATGTTTAAACTTTACACTTAAATGACTTGTCCCAGACCACACATACTAAAACTTATCTAGTGCCCACTGTCAGAGACTCCACCAAGAAGCAGAGCATCCTCCACCCTCTTGTGTTTCAAGATATAAAGAACTTAGCTCTAGTACCTCAGGGCATCAGCGGACAACAGAGCTAAGTGGCTGGGCTTTGCACTGATCATAAAGCTACATCTGAAGTTAGATAAGAAGGAGAATATTTTTAACTAATGTCAATTAAACATTGATTTTTGTTACAGCTTGGTCCTTCAGTACCACCCCTGCCTTAATCGGATTTTCCTAGTGATGTTGTGAACTTCACCACATTGTCTCTTGCAGTTTCAGGAAGATCTCCGGCTCTGGCAGAGAAAATCATGGCTATCTATGTTACTACCCAAGAGACACAAAGGAATAGATACTGGTGTTCACACACTGCACACAATGCAAAATGTAAAAACAGAAGACAGAACACTAACCATTCAGTGATGTTTGTTATTTAAGTGAAAACTTTCTACGTTATGAAAACATAGAGTAACTCAGAAAAAGGAGAGAAAACACAGGGACCAAAAGGTGGGAGGGGAACTACAAAAACCAGAGTGAGGGTGAATATCCCCAAAACCAGGGTACCCTGGCAGCATCCCTGAAGTCCCTTAAGTCTGTGCCACCCAAGGTGGAAACAATGGTTAGTTAACATTGGAAAAATGTTTTATTTCATCATGTTCAAACAAAACTTTGAAGACACTTTTTAATGCAAGATTTCACAAAGATAATCAAACTACTTATCAAGGCGAGCTTAACATATGTGAGTGAGCGAAGATGATGCGTAGTTCACCACGTGCAGTGAAATGAGGGAGCAGAGATGTCTCAGCCTCTCAGCTGTGGCCAGTGCGATGGTCTCCCGTTCTGCAGCTCTTCTAAGCCACGTTGCTTTTCTACCCAGTGCAGCTGCAGAGATTAGGTCCTCTCATATTTTTAGGCCTTTAGTTTTGTTCTCTAATGTTACAGTTGAGTTGCCTGCAGTTTCCCAGTTGGCACCAGGCTTAGCGAGTGTGCTCCATGAAATGTGGAATGCCCGATTTACCTGGGTAGCTACTAAGTGCCGTGGGATTTTGCAGGCTTTTCTGATTATCCTTAATTGTGTGCATCGCCTGGCTTGCACACAATGGTGACAGGAAGGAAGTCACAGTTGGGTTGGAAAACTGATTTTGCTTAATTTTTTGAATAGTTCCTTCACAGGAAAGAAGCACTTATTTTCTCTAACACTGTTAAACATTCTTTAGGCATAGTTGGTTCTTTTACTTGGACAAATTTTCACACCTTTCCCCCCCCACCCCACCCAGAGATTCCTCTAACATAACAATCAGTTTGTGAAATTACATTATCAAGTCACTGGCATTCCGATGGGGGAAGTGATATTGGCTTTCAGACTTACTGCTGGGATATATAAGGGTGTTAGCAAAGGCAAGTGATAAAGACAAGCACATTCACACATAGCTAATCAATGGTTAGCGTCAGCAATAAGTTCGTGAAGTTTCTGAGCTGGAAAAGAAGAATTGTAGCATTGAGGTTTCAATCCGTCTAAAAAATTAAATTATACAGAGTATACAAACAGGTTTCAGTGAGCTAGATAAATGGAATCTCCTCTATATCCCAATGTCAAAGTGTGTGTTCAGTCCTGTCCTCAAAACCGGCATTAATCAGAGTGTCTTCAGAGGGAGTTGATACCCCATAAACAAACAAATAAATAAATGACATATATAAATATATTTATAATTTATTATAATATATCAAACATTATACATTATAACTATATATAACTATATAATATATAGTTAGATATTTTATATATATATATATATACATATATATATATATATATATATATAGAGAGAGAGAGAGAGAGAGAGTAGTTTTTATTCCAACACTCTATTATAGTCTTAGCACTGTTAAAGAGATGAACATGAAGAAACTGAGGCTTGGGAGAATTACAAGGATTGTCAAAGAACACTCAGTAAATATGTGTTAAAAGTCAGACTCAAAGCCAATTGTGATTCTTATGGGATTGTTGTGATACCTGCTGTTGATACTCCTCTCTCTCTCTCTCTCTCTCTCTCTCTCTCTCTCTCTCTCTCTCTCTCTCTCTCTCTCTCTCTCTCTCTGGAACATAATGCAAGCTTTTCTTGACTGAGTTTGTACTGTGGCAGGTAGATATGGATTCACTGGTTGAAGAAAATAGAACCAAAGGAGCTAGGGTGCCAGGAAAATAACACTCCTTGGAAAGTGAAGTTGAAAGCTGGTGGAACAGGCTGTACTTATCAGCAATATTAACCCCTCACTCTCTCCTTCTTCCTGTGAAGTTAGCGTTATTTCTGTGTACTCATATTTATGAAGGGATTTTACCGACAAATCCGTTGATTCACAACTGTAGCATTTTACATTATTAAAATCATTTTTATGTGCAATCTAAGGATGATAATTTCGGTGCTAATGTGCACTTTGCCGTGTATTGATATCGTTGTCACGTGAGTGGGTGTAAGGAAAGAGATCTCTTCAGTCCTTCACAGACGGAGGTGAGAATCCTCAGAGTCTTTTCAGACGAAGTGGTTAGGCACTGCCTGGAGCCTCCTTGATCTTATAAGGTTTGACATTTCAGAAATACTGCACTTTTGTTTGCAAAGCTGTCTTTGGTTGTTTTACTAAACAAATCCTAATGTGAATTTTAAATTGAAACCATCTTAAACAAACTAACTGTGTAACAGACTCTATTTTGAAAATCGCAATATTAAGTGAGACTGCCATAGGCTGTCACTGTTCTTGAACTTGTTTTTTACAAGGAACTTAACTGTCCCTTCTTTCAAGCCATGTTTTTCCACAATGACTAGTTCTAAAGCACAGGTCACAGGTTTAAAATCAAGACACTTAATTGACCCTGTACCACTAATATCCAGTACAATTATTAAGAATTTAAAAGGAACTTACAATCTTCTGGAAATTGCATTGTGTGTGTGTGTGTGTGTGTGTGTGTGTGCGTGCGCGCATGTCTGTATGCATATCTGTGTGCAGGTACACAAATGTCACTGTGGATATATGGTGGTCAGAAATCAACAGACAGCAATCGGTTTTCTTCTTACTCTGTGTGGCCTCTGGAAACCAAACTCATGTTGTCAGTCTTGGCCGTGAGTGCTCTAACCCAGAGAGCCATCTGACACGTCTGATTTCTCATCTTAGGAGCAGAAGTTTAAACTAATTGTTTTCAGGTGACAAATAATTTAGTGTGATGACATCACACAGGTTTATTGGCAGCCTTAATTTAGTGAAAGTTCTCTGTGGGCAGTGTCCAGTTTGAAAAAAAGGAAAAAAAGGACAAGGCATAATTTTTTTTCTTTCCACAGAAAATCACAGTCATTTAGATACAGTCTAACCTCATACTTTCTGAAATTGCAGTTACATGATAGCAATTATTCTTAAAAGGATGACCTGATTCTAACCCCTCCACTAAAGCTTTTACAACAGCCCGTATTAAAGAGAACTGCTGCCACTCTTCCAAAATTGGATTTGAGACTCACGAGGGTGCCACTGAAGAGTAATAGTGTTTGGTTTTTACTCTACATAATTAAGCTCGTTATTGTAAGGGAGATGATATCACTCGGAAGCCCCAGCAGGAAACAGTTGTCTGACTGACACTCACTGCCTTGGCTGTGTTGACAGGTATGGGAGGGTTTAGAGAAATCAAGGAAGGTAAATCCTACCCATGAACACTGGAATGTGAGGGAAACAAGCCTTCTGTCCCTAGACCAGGAGAATTAGAAGGAGTAGTTAGACCAAAAAATAGCAGTCCAATTTCCAGACCTTGATGGAAACCACAGTCAACCATAGGGATCACGTCTAAGAGTTCAGAGCAAGGTACGGGGAGGAACAGAGTAGATCTGGAGGGAAGAAACAACAGCTCGGCAGAGGAGGAGATGAACAAACAGCAGAGTCAATGCTCTGTAGATCAGGAGGCTGTGCTGGATTGGTCCTGCCTGGCAAAGAGAAGAGAGCAGGCACTCATTCAGTCCACACAGGTATTTCTTCACTGTGAGAAACCAACTCAGTTTAATGTAGTAAACATCACCACTTCATCATGCTCATAGACCCTGTGAGACAGGCGTTTGTAAAAGGGATAAAAGGATGGAAAAACCTCTATTCCAATACATTGGGCCTCTCAGCTAGGAAGACTCAGAGACTGGTCAAAGTCACTCAAAGGCTCAGAGACTCGGTTGAAGTCACTCAAATGTCTTGAGACTGGCACCATCTGAAGGCTCCTCTTGGATGGAAACTATCACCTCCAGTCTTTACTCAGGGCCTCTCTGAGGACATGAGGTTCTTGTACAGTAGTAGCATTCATATGGGTTCAGAATTCAACATGTGTGGTCCTTTCTCCAGGTATCCGCCGGCAGGCTGCTCATTGTGTCAAGAAGGGCCATGGGATAGTGAAAACTACCTTCTGTAACCCAGAAACCCAGCCCAGCGTGAGACAGAAGAAGTGCTACGAAAAGGATTGTCCACCCAGGTAACCCTTGATAACGTGAAGGTTGACGTCTGGGTGTCACCTGGTCAGACACCTGTTTTAATAGTGCTCCAAAGCTTCATGGTAATTGTGAGTTATGTTGTTAGTTAATGCAGGAAAGCTTTGAGAGGTTTCTGTGACTGTGCTGTCAGCCCATTGTAAGCTGAGAGAACATTTTCTTTCCCGAGAGCAATTCTTACAAAGTAGATACACTGCATGTTTTTATTTGCTAAGACTCAGTCTCAAACTGAAGATAAATGCTCAGGACATTCACCCAGAAGTTGTTTAACTCCCAGGTGGTTTAGTACTCCGAGGGCATGTCTCCTGCTGAATCTAGAACTTTCACATATTTGTACTCAGAACTGTCTGTGTCCACTCTACCTCAGGCTTCCCCGAAGAGGGCAGTTAGAGCGCAGGCAGGTGTCAGGGCTGGGCTTGCAGTTAGGAGCTTCAGCCAGGACTTGGTCCTACAGCTTCTACCTCAGAATTCTTCCTATCTCTGAAGCTATAGAGTGAACCAGGCATCTCATCATCTCTTGGATATGAAAGTAGTACGTCAGAACACAGTAACATATGCTCTTTGTTCTCCCAATGCTTCTTAAGATGTGCTTAGACATGGAACTTCCTTTTTAAAAAATTAATTGTTTACATCCTAAGTGTTCCTTCCCCATCCCCCTCCCCTTCGACTCTGAGAGAGTAATCTCCCCCAGGTAACCCCAGACTATGGTGCATCAAGTCTCTGTAGGAGTAGATACATCCTCTCCTACTGAGGCCAGACAAGGCAGTCCCCTGCTACATGTGTCGGAAGCCCCAGACCAGCCTGTGTTTGCTCCTTGGTTTGTGGCTCAGTCTCTGGGAGATCCCAGGGTTCCTGGTTTGTTGACTCTGTTTATCTTTCTGTGTGTTTATCTCCTTAAGGGCCTTCAACCCTTCCCCTAACTCTTCCACAGGGGTCCTGGCCTCTAGCCAATGTTTGTGGGTATCTGCATCTGTCTCTGTCTCAGTTACCAGGTAGAGCCTCTCAGTGGGCTGCTATGGCTTCCTGGTATACAAAAAAGTTAGAAGTGGCCTAACTGCCCAGCTTCCTCTCACATAGTCAGTCAGTCAGCCACGGCAGTTAGATCGGAAGGTCCGATGCAGCTACATAGGAGCCAGGTGCTGGGCAGCCAGTGCCAGACAGCCACTGCACAGGGGCAACAAGAGCAAACGTGACATCTAGAGTCACATTTCTTGATGAGAAATCTGTCTGTCTGTCTGTGGTGCTGCCTCTGCCACCTGGATGGACACAACTGAGAGAACAGTGATTCCCCAGCATCTGCTGTTGTGTGGGAAACGTAATTTCCTCTAATTCTCTCTAAACAATTGGAAGATTATACTTGAGTAGGAAAAGAAAAGCATAAGCAATTTGACAAGTCCTTTAAGACCCTGCCAGTGGATGGCATATTTTCTTCAATTACACACTTTTTATGGGAATCTATTTTCTAAGGTACTGCTGGGTTTTTCTTTTGAGAGACTATTTCTATGCATAGTTAATGCCAGGAGCCCAGCTAGCAATTGTTAAAGGTCGACAAAATTAACAGGTCAAGTCTGAGTTTATATACAAGAATAGGTGCACACACAAAGATACTTGCATGCACATACACATACATATGAATACACACAATATATTTAAAAATCAGTGATATGTTTAGGCAGTTACTTGACTCCAGCTATTTGTTTGTGTTGTAATTTATATAAAAAAAATTTGTTGCTATGCTATATACATATAATCCTTTTCTTATAGCTGAATTTGTTTATTTCATTATATAGACGAAAATATTTACCAAGGCTGACGAAATGGGCCAGGCATGGTGGCACACACCTGTAATCCCTAGAGTCAGGAGACAGGGGGATGGGAATGAGTTCAAAGATGGTTTGGGACTACATAGTAAGACTTACCCTTCCCCAAATGAAAGAAAGAAAGAAAGAAAGAAAGAAAGAAAGAAAGAAAGAAAGAAAGAAAGAAAGAAAGAAAGAAAGAGGGAGGGAAGAGGGAAGAAGGAAGGAAGGAAGGAAGGAAGGAAGGAAGGAAGGAAGGAAGG